CTCCATCTTTATCTACATTACTGCCTAAATAGGTGTACGACTCCACGTCTTCGAGTGGGGTGCCATTAAGAGAAACCACATTACTATTTGCCTGATTTATTCTCATTATCTTTGTCTTTCCTTTATGGATTTTCAGACCAAGCTGCTGTGATCTCGCATTAAGTATATTTAATTTATCTTGCATCTGATTCCGTGAATGGGACAGAAGAGCAATATCATCAGCGAAGTCCAGATCATCAAGTTGTTTTGTAGGGGTCCACTGAATTCCATTCTTGGTGTTAGCAGTCACTGTTTTCATAGTCCAGTCTATAGCCAGTAAAAATAAGAGAGGCGACAAAAGACATCCCTGTCGCACACCTATTTTTATTTCAAATGCATCTGTTAGCTTTCCCTCATGAAGAACTCGACATCTCGTGTCTTTATATGTTGCCTTTACTAAGTTGATAATTTTCTGTGGGATTCCATAGTACCCCATCAATTTTCAGAGAGATTCCCTATCTATGCTGTCAAATGCTTTTTCATAGTCTATAAATCCAATGTAAAGTGGTGAGTTCAGTTCAATGCTTTGCTCTATCATAATACGTAATGTGGCTATCTGATCAGTACAGGATCTGTTTGACCGAAAACCTGCCTGCTCATCTCTTAGCATTTTATCAATAGCATCTTTTAATCTTTCCAAAATAATTATACTTAATATTTTTCCAGGAACTGACAGCAACATAATTCCTCTATAGTTTTCACACTCCTGTAGATCACCTTTTTTTGGGCAGTTTCACAGGATATTCTTCTCTCCAGTCTGCTGGTATTTCTTCGGTCTCCCAGACTTTACTGAATAATCTATGTAGCAATTCTGTTGATGTATTTATGTTGGTCCTGATGGCTTCAGCTGGGATACCGTCTGGGCCTGTCGCCTTTCCTTCCTTGAGAAGATTTATAGCTTTTCTTATTTCCTCTTTGGATGGTATCTCACAGTTGATATCCAGTTCCATTTCAAAAGGCTGGATATCTGGGGGAGCCTCTGGGCGTGGTCTATTTAGAAGCATTTCAAAATATTCAACCCATCTGTCCATTTGATCTTTAGTATTGGTAAGTACCTTTCCTTGACTATTTTTGATTGATCCAGTTGGCTGAATATATATTTACCTACTAATTTTCTTGTGTTACTGTAAAGTTTTCTGAGGTTTCCTTTTGCTGCTGCTGTCTCTGCTTCTTGTGCTAGATCATTTAGATATTTCACTTTATCTGCCCTTATATGCCTCCTAACTTCCTTGTTGGCTTCTGTGTACTTCTCCTGAGCTCTAGCTTTAGCAGCTCTAGTTTAGCTATTGTTTAATTCTGCCTTTTTAATTTTCCTATCTTCAATCAGTTTAATGGTTTCAGGTGTTATCCATGCTTTATGTTTCCTTTCTTTCTTGCCAAGAACTTCTACGCAAGCTTCATTCCAGATTCCTTTGATCTGATCCCAGCAGACTTCTATATTGACATCTTCAGCTAACTGCTGCAACACCTGGTACTTATTAGAGACCGTAACTGAGAACTGTTCCTTAATTTCTTTATCTCTGAGAAAGCCTACATTATATTGGTTTCTATGATTATAAGATGTTATATATCTTTTCAGTTTCAACTTGATTTTACTTACCACCAGGAAATGGTCAGTAAATACATCGGCACCTCTGAAAGCCCTAACATCGTAAAGGGATGATCTAAACTTGTTGTTAATACATATGTGGTCAATTTGATTAGTTGTCTTATGGTCTGGTGATTCCCATGTTGCCTTGTGTATACTTTTATGGGAAAAAATACTTCCACCAATAACATACTGGTTACCTGTACAACAATTTGTGAACAATTTTCCATTTTCATTCATTACTCCTAGACCATGTCTCCCCATAATTTCGTCATAACCTGTGTTGTCTGATCCTATCTTAGCATTCAAGTCACCTATCAAAATTTTTAAGTTGCCCTTTCTTTCATTATTTATAATATTTTGAAGCTGCATGTAAAATTCCTCCTTAACAGATTCATTTTTATCATTTGTTGGTGCATAACACTGTATTACCGACATGTTCACCTTCTGTTTAACTATTCTAAAAGATGCTCTTATTATTCTGGGACTCACAGCTTCCCATTCTATTAGTGCCCTGTCTGCTTCTTTTGATAGCATCGGGGCCACTCCTTCACTGTGCGGCGAATTTTCCTCTGTGTGTCCTGAGAACAAAATAGTTTCTCCTGAATTTAGAATACTTTTCCCTGCCCCAGTCCATCTAGTTTCACATAACCCTAAAATACTAATTCTATAATGTTTCATTTCCTTTGCTACTTCCATTGTTCTCCCTATATCATAGAGAGTTCTAACATTCCAGGTGCCAATTCTGGAGGTTTTCCTAGCTGAGAGGAGGTAGGTCAACGATCCGGACTCCTTACGGCTTTCTCCACACCGTGTCATACTTCTTCTATTTGAAGAGCCTCATCTCACCTTGGTTGGCTGGATTTTATTTGCTTTTCTTTTTGACTTATCCATGGTTGGTTGGTTTTTGTGGCTATGGTTTTTACAGGATGAGATAGCCAACCTCGAGCCCAACCCTACCCTTAGTCGCCTCTTATGACATGCCTGGCAGGGTGCAGTGTCATTATTCTTTGCTTCCCGTGAGGGCCCCGGTGACACACGGGCGGTCCACTGAGTACTCCCCACAAAAATATTCTAGGAATAAGCGCGAGAACAGAAGGCGCAATAGGTGGTTACACATATACAAACTAAAAGGGAACACTGCAGAAAACATTTCGATATTAATAAATTAGTATAGCTTATACCTTTAGTAGGCTTATATAGTCTCTATAATTTCATCTTCCTAAAATATATTAGTTGTTTAATCAAAAGTAATAATAATACATTCTAGATCTTTTAGAGGGAGTAGGTGAGTGTGGTGGAAGTGACAAGGAGTGGGGCTGAAAAGCTTAGTATGTCCCATTTTCAATATCTCCAATATGTATCCAAATAATCAACTGCAAATTAGTGAGTGATTTTAAACATCATACTTTTCTGGACCGCCCATGATATTGGCACTATTCTTCTTGTCCGCCGAGTTTATTTGCAGTGTTCTTTTGTCAACCCAGTATATTCGCAGTATTAACCTTGTCCAGCCAGTATATTCGCAATATTCTTATTGTTGACACAGAATATTCGCAATATTCTTATTGTTGACACAGAATATTCGCAATATTCTTATTGTTGACACAGAATATTCGCAATATTATACTTGTCCACCCAGAATATTCTTAATATTCTTCTTGTCGACCCAGTTTGTAAAATAGATTGGCAATATTGTTTCTTGTCCACCCAGGATATCACGGTATTCTTCTTTTCTACCCAGTATATTTGCAGTATTCTTCTTCTTCATCCATTTTCAGCTCAAAATAATAATGGGATGTCTCGTTTTCAGTCCAAGATATTCTAGTCAGCATACATAGAAATTATGTTTTTTTTTTTAAGTTACAAGGTCCTTAGTCTAAACAACAGAAAAACAGAAACTACAAAATAAACTACACTAGAAACTATTTATATTTTAGCTCCTGAATATCCACATAATCCACGTCAAATATTGGAATAATATCCACACATACTTCAAGTGTCCCAATATCCACAATCCACATCAAATAGTGGAATAATATCTACACATACTTCAAGTGTATCAATATCCACATTTATGGATACATGAAAGTAACCACTCAGCCTATCACCTATAGTATACAGTAATTTAATAGGCTGATAATTAGTTAGTGAACTTAGCCAGCTTTCAGTTTCCTTTCAGTGTTTTTTCTTTCCCTGTATCACATCTAGATCTTGAAAATCTATTTTTTTAAAATAGCAGAAGACAGCCATTCGTTAATTTGTTGATCATAAAAAAGTAAAAAGTAAAGATCCCTTGTCACGCCTTAGGCGCATCGGGTATATGGGAAGAGCGTCCCAAATTTTTACAGATCAATCGGCACTGGGTGTGTAATGTGGTCAGCATTACGCCGGCCGTCTTTACTTCCCCAGGACAGCCATCATGGTACCCATTTTAGGCTGGGTCGACCTGTGTTGTCCCAAACAATGATAAAAATCCACGAAGCCAGCATTAGGTTTCGATCGCGGTACGTTGGAATTACGAGTCGGACTCGCAACGCATGAATACTACTAATATGTGATACATTTATTTATCAGGTACAATAATATCAGACGTAAGAAAATGTTTCATACAGACTACGCTGGTTTACCCAGGTGTCCAATTTTTCCGTGGAACTAATTTTAGCCATCTTTTTCTCCGAAGAATATTTAAACACACTAATATTATATCCACTAGAAAGGATCATAATTCGAATGACGCTCAGGTACAGAAAGTGTGCAGGCATAGTTAATCATATTAAACACTTCACAACAGCGTATTCCGAACATGTAAATATAAAAAGTAAGGTAACTACACACGTAAACACCAGCAGTTCGACTAATCACGGCCGACACCAACTACCGAATCTACATACGTGTGTTGGCCTGAGCACTCTAGCTGACCGAATCTGTAGTAAGAGAGAAGACATTGCACTAACCATTATGTAAAGTGTGGATTGTTTTACATCCTAGGATTGCTTCACCCTAGCGATATATTTTCAGTCTGCTACCACCTGATATAACCTTAGCTTGGTGTCACTTTAGTTTGCTCTCTATCTAGGTAATGGCCACAGTAAAGGTTACAAGACCCTTTCGAAAACAAAAATGTACTCGTATCTACATACGGACATTTGAAAAAAATTGTAATGCACAAGATAGAATCAGTGTGTTGAAGAGTTAACAGTGGCATCGTTCAATGGGCAGATGCAATATTAATGGTACTAACCTGCCAGATGCCCCAGATGACACTCGTATATACTGACAGCTAGAGGTAACATGGAAAACGCCATTGACTCCTATCTACCAGCATACATATTATCCTTGAACTAATTATATACGAAACTATCTTCCGCAG